CCTCACGGTAAGTAAAATTATTGTGCTATTCAAGATGATTGATATTTTCTTTATATAATCCCATAACTAAATACATCAACAATCTGCGAAAAAATTTTATGTAATTGTGAGGTTTCAGCGCAACTCATATCTTTTCTAAGGATGCAATTTTAGTTTTAAAAGTTTTTAATATACAGCTTCCCAGTTTTCAAGAACTACATATTTCACCATCCGTCTAATGGAAGCTTATTCGATTTTCTTTTATTACTATTTTACGATTCGAATAAATTCGATACAGCTTTTGTTAAAATATTTTCAGTTAAAAGTTCCAAATTTCCAAGGACACTACTAAATAACTTCATTTCCATAATATAAATAATACAATTGTAAACTCGAAAAATTAGAGTACTTTTTAAAAATAAATTTCGGAAAACAAAAACAAAACAACAATTATCTTATCATTTTTTGAAAGGTTTTAGGTTCAGGTTACATATATTTGATACACATATAATTGACTGCTTATTATTAAACGTTTTTTTACACAGCTAAAGTTTCTAAGGAAGGCACACTAGAAAAATGTAAACCTATTTATAAAGTTGATTTAAAAACTTCTCAAATAGGGTGAGTGATTTTTAATTAAATACTTGATGAAATTTAATATACACTACAAATGTACGTATGCCATTTTTTTCAGTGACACATTTACAATATTTTCTGGTGGAATGCCTACTGAGAAAAGTTCTAAATCAAACTGTATAACTGTTATGGTGGGGAAATCAACAACTGTCTTGGAAATGGAACACGCTGTCGTAGACTTTATTATTCTTTGCGAGAATCCTTGGTTATGCGGTAAGTGATTTATATGAATTAGATACCATATTTACCAGGATTAAAATAACTTTATCAAATAACAATAACCTTTATTACTTTTAATTTTTTCGTTATTGTTGAATACTTTGAATAAAAATTAAAAAAATCGTCTCTTACTATAGAAATTTAGAAATTAGTAAGGGTAGAGATTTTGAAAACTAGATACATTTTAATACTCTTAGTATGTATAATCCAAAACTTGCAGGATAAAAAAATCGTCCAAGTATCTAATTAAAAATCTTTTGGTTATCCCATTTGTACGCCGAAAATATCTCCTTACCAAGAATTCTTATGTATACAATTTATATATGTATATGTATATCCTAATTCGTATTAATTCTGGAAAGGGAATATGAATTCCCTAAAATATGCTCTTTTTCCCCTAGTAGTTAATCAACTTAATTCTTTGTTATTCCGGAACTTTAAGTAGTTAATTTACATAATGCTTAAATAAAAAGTACAATATCACTACAACCCTTAGAATTATAAGTGCCATCGCTGCGCCTTTAAAAACTGTCAAGCAACAGCACATGTATATAGACAATTGGAGCCTTTATTACCACCAATTGGCTCGAGAAAATTTATTTACGTTAGAACACCTTCTTCGGTCTGGATATTATAACAGGTTAAAGTCCTACTTGGTCTCTCCTTCTTCCTATACCCACTTCGTTTTGATTTTTATTTCTTAAAACTAAAAAGTGTGCTTGGCCATTGAAAATAGAGTTACAATAATAAGTTTATTTCTAATTCTAGGGATACATATAATTAATTAAAATTAACTATACCGAAAATTTCTGCTTTTATAGCTGATTATAAATACTTGTATACTTAGCCGCTATGACTTTTATTTAGGTATTTTATAACACCAAAGCAGATTTAATATATTTTCTGATTTTTGGTTAATTACAGTATTATAGAAAATTATATAAAACTGAATTATATGACTTTTTAGTCTAAATAAGTATTGCGTTTTATTGCTTGATTTCCTAGAAACCCAAGAGCCCTATGCGATAGCAGTACTTCTACAATATGACTTAGTTTTAATAGACTTACTCACGCCCGGTTTTCCATGTTTCGAATCGCCTTATCCCATGGACTTACATGAATCACCTGTTACATGTTGCACCTATTTAACTGATTGTCCTTCGGATTTGGTTCCTGCTTTTTATTCCGTAAGAATTTTTGCTGACATTTACTGTAACGATTTAGATGTATCAGTATTTATAAAAGCGGCTTTTTGACACAAAGTTGACTGGATTTTAATAACACATTGTCTCATTGCTTTTGGACAGATAATAAAAAAATCACTGCAGTAAAGTTAAAGCTATAAAATGTCTTAATTTTGTAAACATGAGTTTTCTATAGACAGTGCCGATGAAGTTGTACACAATTAGTGTTAAACAAGTAAGGAAGGGAACATTTTATACTCTTGCAACTTGCTAGAATTCAAACCAGGGAGATATTTAAGGAGTAAATCGTCAACCAGAGGATCGGAATCATTGAAATTTTATATATGCCTATACATACTCTACATAACTCATACACTGGTCGACAAATTCGGCATAAGATTTGGTAGAAAAACGAAAGTACGTCACATATAATCACCAATCATATGGAGTAAAGTCAGCCGGATGTTCGAAAATCCTGGTAGTAATAAGGGGCTATGCCAAGTTTTCGCTCAAATTTATCCATTTTAGGCACAAAGATACCCTGTCATGAATAAAACACGTTCTCCCAATTTCACTTAGATATCTCAAATATTGGCTGATATATTCAACGTAAAGTGACCTGGAAGTTCGAAAATCTTTATATTAGGGCTCAGGAAGTATTGGCCCAACTTTTGACATACCATTGTGAGAGGAGGATTATCCCAGAATTACATATTATATATATCTCGCACATTAATCGATACTTTCGGTCGAAAGTCAAATATAGATAATGGGGTCCACATGGTTGGATTTGGACAATTTTGGGTCAAAAGGTGCCATATTTTAAGGGAATTATTACTGCGAAATTTTATTCCGTTATATTATTTCTTGATCTGTGTATTGGAAACTGAAATAATCAAATGGCATTTCAAATTGTGTAATATGGGAAGTAGGCGTGGTTGTAGTCCGATTTTGCATATTTTCACACTGTAACATAGGAATGTTAGAAAAATGATGCGTACTAAATTTAGTCGAAATCGGTAAAATTTAATGTCTCTGGCGTATTAGTTATGAATTTATTGGTCTTTTAGTAGTTTTGAACTGTACCGTTTGTGGGGAGTGAGCGAGGTTATCTTCCGATTTCATCCATTTTTACACTGTCGGTAGGGTTTCTTTAAATAATCGAGGAAATATGTACATTAAGCATATTAGAGGGCGTGCTCACTCCCACTTTTCCAAAAATGTTTACCCGCAGATGACCCTTGCTACTGCAATCCTCTGTGCCAAATTACAATTTTATATCTTAATTTAGAGCTTAGTTATGGCACTTTATATGTTTTCAGTTAATGATGATTTATGGGAGTGGCAGTGATGTCATTGCGCCCATCTCTGAACTCTAAATTTTTTTGTACTAAGTAACATACATACCAAGTTTCATCGAGATATCTCAATTTTTACTCAAGTTACAGCCGGAGGACAGATAGACAGACAGTCAACCGGATTTCAACTTTTCTCGTCATCCTGAGTTATAAATAATATATGTATATATATATAATATATATCTCGTTTAGTTTTAAAAGATACGTACAACAGTTAGGTAAACAAAACAATAATACTCTGTAGCAACTGGTTGCAAGAGTATAAAAAGTGTCGTTATTATACGCTGGTACATCTTGTGTTTTACACAATAACTTTTTTTAGTAAGAAAGAAAAAATATTTCAATAGGTTGGTCGCACCACAACTAGTAAGAAAACTGGTTTTTCTGAACGAGAGTGGCCAATTAATGGCGGGGAATGGTTTCCCGCATCGTGCAGTTATTCGGAAATCGTAATCACAGGACATCAAGATGGCACATTAAAATTTTGGGATTCGGGTGCAGGAACTCTGCAAGTATGTGTAATTGTAGACATTTTTAATATAATTTCTTTTATATAATTATAATTATAGATCCTGTATAAGTTGAAAACTGCAAAAGTTTTTGAAAAGCCGAAAAATTCGCACTCAGATAGTGGTAACGATAATCCACTTGCCATACAGCATATATATCTATGTTCCGAATCACGTCGATTATGTGTAGCTGGCGCTGTGGGACAAGTTATGTTGTTTAAATTTCGAAAAGTTGAATCAACGTCTGAGGTTTTGACATTAGAGATCCCCATACTTTACGAAAATTTCGACGATATTTATGGTACGAGTCCAGAGTGTGATTTTATACCACATCAAGTTCAAAAAACCGAATCAAGTGATTCTGATAAGGTAAATTTTATGTGTGCGYAATTCTTATTATTATTATGGAAATAAATAAGATATATACCAAATGTATGATAATTTTCTATACATTTAAATTTATGAATATATTTTATTTTGATTTTAGGGGACCATTTTTGTTTCTGCAATGTATTTTTATACATTATTGACATTTAAATTATGCTTCGTGAGAAAATTTTTTTTGTATTACTATTGGAATTTTCAAAATTAAATAAAAGTAAAGTAATAAAAGCATTTCATTATAAAAACAACCAGTACGTCTAAAGTTTACGATTTTTCTCAGCTTTTCAATGGGATATTCGTTGAACTAATTCAACTAATTTTTAAAACAAAATGTACAACTTTATAAACAAATATTTGAAACTATTTTTAATCTGACCGTCCGTCCCTGCGTCCATATGAAAACATTTATTTATTTGTGGAGATAACCACGAGATTTGACAAGGATTAAATAAATTCCTGTATGGACTCTTATGTGATTATTTCGGTTCAGTT